AAAAAAAAAAAAAAATTGCAACAATATTGCTAGCTTTCTGGATGATTTAAAAAAAAATAGACTCAAATATTTTATCCTCTCTCTGATACACTTCCTGTAACTTGCCTTTATGAGGAAGGAAAAGCCATTGCTTACAATTGTATTCGCTTTGAAGGCAACTGCTAGCACCTTGCTGTATATTCTGTACTAAAACTCATTAAACACAGACTGTTCTTAATTTCTTGTGTAACTCTTTGTTCGTCTCAATAACCCAAAGGAATGCTGTCCCCGGTATGTAGCACCATGTATAATTCCTGCCCCTCCCCTGCTGTGGCTAAACTGCTTTTGTTTCCTGCATTTGATTAACAAATATAGCTAGCCTGTATTTGAGGTAGGCTGTAGGGACAGAGGCCCTCAGAGTGGGGAGGTAAACCAGGAAAGAGACGTTAGACATCCAAAGTTGGTTCTGTCTTCTAAGTTCTAAAACTTGGTCATACCAACTGAGACAGAATCATGCTGGACCAGTTTCCTAAGAAACTGAGTTGGAACCAGATGTCAGTTATTCAGTGTGAGTGAGATCTATAGCTTCGATAACCAGACCTCTCCAGGATGCTGCCTGCCTTTAGTCAGGGTATCTACTTGGAAAATTAGTGGTTAGTTTTCTTAGTCATTGGAAGATTCCTGGGAGTTGGAGCAAAAAGAGGTGAATTACATGAGTAGTTTATAGAGTTTGGGATCACAGATTCCTCTGAGAATTTAAAGAAAGGTTTGATCTTCTTCTAAGAAAAATGTACCTTCTGTTTAGTTTTTGCACCAGTGTTGAGGAATGCTGGAGTTCATTAGCTGGCCCTGGTTATATTTCACCCAGCCTGAGCTACATCTTAAAAATCCATATTCCATTAAAGATTTATTTTATATCTTTTCAGAGATAGAGTCTTGCTCTGTTACCCAGGCTAGAGCACACTGGCCTGGTCATAGCTCACTGTAGCCTCAGCTCAAACGATCCTCCTATCTCAGCCTCCCCATAGTTGGGATTACAAGCAGGAGCCACCATGCCCAGCTAATTTTTCTTTATTTTCTTTTGATGTGGTATCTCACTGTGTGGCCCAGCCTGGTCTCAAACTCCTGGCTTTAGGCAATCCTCTCACAGATTAATTTTAGTTATTTGAATAGTGCTTCACATTTTTTATCATATATACATATAGTGTTACATTTTTCTTTAAATCAACCCGCTTTTTAATTTAAATTAAATTTAAAAACCTTATTGCCATGTATTTAAAAAAAATAGCATTTAACTGTCAATAACAGAAAGCAATGAAATGATCAAAACACAAGTGATAAACGTAATCATCCTACAAGCATTCAGCCTAAAAATCATTGTGCCTTAATGAGGTTCTAGAATAAGACTACATGAGCAGTCAAAACCACAGAACATTCTAGTTTAGGTTGCTTCAAGATGAAGGGGTTCATTGTTGATGAAATGATTCTGTATTTTAGCTTTGATGATCAGCAAGGCCAAGTGACATGGGGACTTAGTGACAAAGGGCAGAGCTCTATACCCGAGCTTCAAAGCCAACCCCTTTCTCCCTTCCTGTCTTGCGGCTCCTTCCCAGGCTCAAGGTGGACCCTGGTCCCATGAGGACAGCTGGAACAGCTTTCTTTGCCCATGTAATCTCCCTGGAGAGACCGGCACTAAATGGAGGGACATAATAGAGACAGTCATGGGGGATTAGAAGGAGGAGAGTGTTGCAGGAGTGAGAAGAGGGATGCCTGACCTAGGCTGGGCCTTGCACAAGAAGGCTGTGCACTTCCCACATTTGTCCAACTTATGTACTTATTTAGAGGTTACTGAGTGTTGGGTACTGGCAATGCAAAGACTAATAAGACTCAATTACTACTCCTAGAAGTACCAGATCTGGTGAGAGGAAACAGATTTGCAAGAGATTATTATATAATCTAGATGTTAGGTGCAATGAGATGGCAGGAGGAGAGAGTTCCCTTGATGTGGCTCCCATTCTATTTTACTTTACTTTCCAGGTCTCCAGCCAGAAATTTTAGTTCCTGAATGTTTGAGACATCCCTGAGTAGTTAGCCTGTAATTTATGCCTTTTATGTAAATGGGAGTACTACTATCTGCTTGACTTTTGCCCTAAGCAGGAAGAAATGCATGTTGAAGTCTAATTTCTAAAGTTAAATGCTCAACTCCTGTACAACTAACTATAAAGTGAACACAGGTCAAAGATGTCACTTAACTTGTTAATTAACAGGGTATCGGCTCTGCGCCTGTGGCTCAAGCGGCTAAGGCGCCAGCCATATACACCTAAGGTGGCGGGTTCGAATCCCCAGCCCGGGCCCGCCAAACAATAATGATGGCTGCAACCAAAAAATGGCCAGGCGTTGTG